GGGAAAGTAGTTTTTTGAAAGTACCTAGCAATAGTGTATTTGAATTGCCAAATTTTCACCTAATCCTTCTCTCCCATTATATATGACAGGAACTACTGAAAGTAAAGACAGCCTGATTAATGTAACAGAAGATTTATATTTTCTTTTCCTTTATAACATCATTTGAGAATGTAGAAATTCTCTCTTACTGCTCAGCACATCCATACAAAGTCTTCCCTCTCCTTCACTTACTGAAGCAGCTAGAAAATAGAAAACCATGGTAAAATATAACGTTGGCAGCATCTCTGCTCTCACCATGTGCTGACCAGTACTCGTGAAACAGCTTGTTATTCTTGTGAGTGACTCAGGAAAATCAGGAAGGGAATTAGAATCTGGAATAAATGTTCACTGCCTCATCTGCTCTTAGGAGAGCAAAATGCAGATTGAGAATCAGTATTCTATAGCATTTTATAGATAGTGATTATCTAATTAACTAGTATTCTTCATAATTTCCTTTTAATGCTCTAAAATTTTTAATACCACTTCTGTGTACCCCGATATATTAAACAACTTACTTTTAAAAAGCACGCTCTCACTGTGATTTTTTTTTATCTATATATTTTTTCTCTTGCTAAGTTTACATGACTTACAGTTAAGGGAACCTAGGATTCCCAAAGTCTGGTCAGCACGTGACAGTTCCCTCAGTCTGCATCACTGGTGCTTTCTCTATTAGTGCCGATGTAGGAACGTAATTTGCCATAAAGGCAACTAATAAAAATTTCCTTACATTTATTTAAAAACCCAATACTTTATATGGAAGTTTAATATGATAAACATATTAGGTCATTGAACCATTAAATAAAGAGTAAAATTAGGCAAATATTCTCTTTCCTTTTTTATTCATCATTACCTGTAAAAACAAAATATAAGGTATAAAATAAACATTTTCCAAAATAAAATTCAAAGACAGGAGATTTTCATCCCTTAGACTGACAATATTTGAAGATTATAATTTTGCCATTACTTTTATGTTAATATAAATATTTATAAAGTGAAACAAATGATTTCTTTTTTAAAATAAAAATGTTTCTACACAAAAATGTAGAAATCCCAAACCTCTTTTTATGAAGAATCTATCTAGAAGATTTGTGGGCTAGGTTTTGTAGAGGTTTTTGCCTTTTGTTTTTTATTCTTTTGCTGGTTGACCTTGCATAATTTTTATTGGAGATTGTAAAGACTGAAGCTGAATCATTGTGCATTTTATAGTCTTCCAAATCAGAAAGTTCTGCAAAATGCACCAAAACCTAAAAATGGCCAGACAAGGCTTTGAAGAACCATTTCTTCAATGTTTCTTCAGGCAGCAAGCATTTTTTTAACTACTGTTTAAATGAAAGATTATCTCATTTTGAAATTATGCTTAACATTTCAGCAAGAAAATACCACCTAGGAAAAAAGAATTTTTGCTAATCTTGAGAACAGAGTATTACAACTGAAATTTCAAGCTCCTCCACCTGAAAATCTCAGCATATGTCAGCATTTAGACTGAGACCATAGAAAGAGACTATGAATTATAGCAGCTCTATCTTTTTGGCCCTGCACATTTTGGTTATCTACATGGCATTAAAAATACTTAAATATTTTTGTCTTTCAATGTTTTTATCTAAGAGCATAAAAGCAATTGCAAAAGGATACTTTAGCTGTCAGAGCTGTTGACTAACCTGGAAACAGAAGGTACTGATGAATAGAAAACATTCTTCCAGAAAAACAATGCATTGAAAAGTCATTAAAATCACAAAATCAAAGAACGGCTTGGGTTGGAAGAGACCTTTAAAGGTAATCTAGTTCAAACCCCTTGCAATAAGCAGGGACATCTTCAACCTGATAGGTTCCTCAGATCCCTGTCCAACCTGACCCTGAACACTTCCAGGGAGGGAGCATCCACAACATCTCTGGACGACCTGTGCCAGTGTCTCACCAACCTCATCATAAAAAATTTCTTCCTTTTATCTAGTCTGAATCTACTTTATTTTAGTTTAAAACCAGTACCTCTTGTCCTGTCACTACAGGGTCTTTTAAAAAGTATCTCCCTATCTTTCTTACAAGCTCCCTTTATTTGAAGCTCCCTCCATATAAGGCCTGCCTGGAGCCTTCTCTTCTCCACAACCCCAACTTTCTCAGCCTTTCTTCATAGGACAGGTGTTCCAGCCCTCTGATAATTTTCATGGCCCTCCTCTGGACCCACTCCAAGAGGTCCATGTCTTTCTCGTACTGAGGAATCCAAAGCTAGCTGCAGCACTCCAGGAGGGTTCTCATAGGAGCAGAATAGAGGGGTAGAATCACCTCCCTTGACCTGCTGGCCATGCTTCTTTTGATGCAGCTCAGGAAATGGCTGGCTTTCTGATCTGCAAGCTTACATTGCTGGTTCATGTCTAGTTTTTCATTCACCAGTACCCCCAAGTCCTTCTCCACAGGGCTGCTCTCAATTCCTTCACCCTCCAGCCTGTATTGATAACAGGGCAATGGAGAAAGTCATGCACCTTCATCTCTGGGCTTTCCATTCTGCATCTTATTCCATACATGAACTGCTTTACTAAACGATCTCATTAAATAAGATGTTAAGTACTCAACTTCTCCAGCAGTGCAGTGGATTACTGACCTGGATTACAAGGACAGTTAGTCCTTGTACCATAGCCAGGCAAAAAAATATTACAAGGAGGTGAACAAAATAATAGTGTTCGAATAGAAAAGGAAACACTTTCGTTTCCTTCAGAACTGTCCCTTCCTTGTCACCGAATCCTCCCTATGGACCTCAGAAAAATTTGGGCTACTGTTAGAAATCCATCTAAACACCGACATTACTTCAGTAGAATAGGAACTTTCTCACATTTTTTATCGTATCCAAAATATGAAGGAAGAAAGGGAAATCCAGGGAGTCCAGGGTTAAAAAAAAATACTACCAGTATATATATAATGTATATAGATAGCTATAAAATATATACATATATTTACCCAGTAAACTACAGATTATTACACTAAAATATCTTTTGTCTTTTTCTCTCTCAATTTTCTAGACAAAATTGTTGATAGAACTAAAACAAGATATCACATTCCATTTCAAAATGACAGTTTCCATGGGAATTTTTTTCAAGTGTGGAATGCAGAATCTCTTGTTCCTTCATTACAGCAGCTGTCTATCATACTATGTCCTAGATATACAACTGTGCCATTTGCACTCCTCATAAACCTTGGTGATATCTTCTTGCTTGGAAGTCAAAGGAAGTTCAGTGAGAACCACTATCAATTTAGCCTTTTCTTGCAATAGACACTGCTTGTATCTTATTTGAAAATTTTGACCAACAGATCATTCAGTCAAATCAGTTCACCTGAAGGGACATATTTCATTGCTAATATCTCAACAAGAGAATACTAGCAGGATTAATAGTGAGGTGGTTTTTTTTTTCAGAAAACCAAGAAGATAGAATTATTCCCATTAATATTGAAAACTTGAAACTCACTTTTTTGACTATATTTAATAAAACTTTTCAAAATTTAAAATAGAAATAAAACAATTAGTTCCATAACTTAATAACATATTTTTATTTAAATTGAACTTGATATTTCAACTGTCATGTTTTTCTCTATCATTTGATTCTCATAGTGCACAATACATTTAAACCATAGAACTGACTCCAGATGCTCAACATACACAACTTCTAGTGTAGCAGATCAGAGAAGACATTCAACATCCAGTGAGAACAGGAAAGGAGTGAGCCAGTATTAAAAAAATAATATAAAATACATAAAATGTCAACACACTTTTAGTTCTTGCAATCATGAACAATAATTCTCTACAGATGTCTATGTTTAACCTAACTTGTAGCCAAAAATTCCTTTGACAATTTTAAAGAAGAGGTAATTCACTGGAAAACTGTAGTCTAATTAAGAAAAAAGCAAGTAACAGTCTGTTAGCATATAGTTCTTTTACAATACAGCTAATGCTGCATTTACTAAGTTATGAGCTGCTACGCATTTATAGGGAGAGAAAAGTACAATTATCGCAGTGCTGGCTTGGGTGGACAGCCTACAATTTTTTATTATATTCGATAGTATTAGAGAAAGAAGAAATTGCAAATGCAATTACATTTAAGGTCAAATGCAGTAATTCAAGAGCAGCTTTAGACCTTTCTCAGCAAATACTTAAGTGGGCAGAATTCATAACAACTTCAATTATTAGTTCTAGCAAAAGTCTGTGTCATATTTACTTTTCTCTTTTCTCTCTGTAGAAAACCACATTTCAAACAGTGATAAATGAAAATTAGCAGGTCTCGTCCCTTCCAAGAAAATTTTCCTGTTGCTTGCAATGTGTATTTCAATTGCATGTATTATTTAGTATATTTTTAACCAAACTTTTGAAAAGACTACAGTGTCACAAAGAAAGATTTTCAAATGACAAGCCAGTGACTAAGTAGCAAACTGCACTGAAGAACAACTGAATTTTAGAAGTCAGTCCTGCATTCAGGAGGGCAGGTCCTTAGGCAATGTGGATCATATTTTTAATGTATCTTTAACAAACACTTAACTGCAGCAACCTTCAAAGCATCTTTGGAAAGCTCTAAAACAAATACTAAGATATGTAAAAGAAAACACAAAGCATTAAATGACAGGAAAAATATGTGAGTTTTGTATTCTTCTCCTTCCTTCTCGTAACTCACAACTTACACAGGTGTGATTTTTGCACAGTAAGCCAAGAAAGTTCACATTTTTCAGTACTAATAATTCTGGATATCTGTAAAAATTATTTTAATGGAAGTACATTATAAGGGCATGAAAGTTCTCTCAGAAATGGGCTTACCTCTTCCAGAGCAAGGTAAATTAGATTTTCCTTGGCATTTCTTAGCACTTTCCTGAACTGACAATGGACAAGAACGTGAATGTTCACACTTCTTCCCAGTCCATCCTTCTTTACAGTCGCACCTTCCACAATTACACTGTCCGTGACCTTTACAATGAATACAATTAAGATTAGCTTCCATACTGATGATAGGTATTAAAATCTCATTATTAAATGAACTTTATCAAATTTGTGGTTTCATTAAATAGTCAGATAGAAAAAAAGCACAACTCATTATATCCACTATTTTCTGTTTCATAATTTCATTTCAGCACTATTTCATTTTGGGTTTTGGTTTTTGTTGATTTTCTTTTCTTAAGGGATATTTTTCCACCTGTCACACACTCCTCATAAGAAAGTGTGGAATAGAGCTTACAAATACCTATTTCCTCAATGTCTGGAGAAGTGAGGCTATGTCATAAGGCAATATTTCATTTACCTTTACATTTTTTTACCGCAGTTGCAGCATATTCTCTAAGTAATAGATAAATACCATCTTTTATCTACTTGCAATCAATATCATCCACTAGAAATGAGCAATGTCACACTAATTCCAAGTCTCAAACCAGTGTCTTCTACTAAATAGTGATGCACAAATAATAAAGTACTGGACATAATCAATTCTTATTTCCATAGGGCAGTCGGATGTGGTTTTTGTATTTCATTAGCTAACTTGATTCTTCCTGATCATGTCTGAACATAGCAACATAAACAAAAATTTCAGTGCACAAGCTGAATTGAGGAAAAGCAATTGAACTCAGCAGAAGTTTTCTGGGAAGTTTCCTTAAAAAAATGTGATAGACAAGAAATTAGGGGTGGATGTCTTTCGAGAACTTAACCTGGAAAGCCAAACAATCTGCTTCCTCTGTCTGAATACTAACATATTCAGACCAAGAAAACCCTAGCTTATTGTCCAGCTCCCTTCATCATGAGCTAATGCTCTTTGCATAAAGCAGTGAGCTCCTGGCAATATAAAATGCTCCTTGCACTGGATGAAGAAAGCTTAAGCATCAGTAAAAACATCCCTTGCCACGTAATCAAATATTTATTTGCATAACGTCTGACAATGGGTTAGATTTTCTCTCACAATCTTCACCTAGTCATCATTCACTGGACACAGGACCCTATTGCATTACTCTGATATCCACTTTTTCTATCCAGTTTCTTCTTGAAAACCATAGCAACACAGATTTTTTATCTCTTTATATCTCTTTCTACCATACCATCTTAAGACTGGTTTATATTTTTAAAACATATGCGTTTATCAGTTCACAAGGAGAAAATGGGAAGAAGCAAGCACTCTACAAATTATCAGAGTACTTCTCAGAACACACATTTTATTAATTTCACAAACATAACTTTTCTTTATATTAATTATTTGTTTTTCCTGAAAAGTGTTAAAGGCTTCCTTCTGTTTAGAGGGTAGGTTTAGATTGGAGATAAGAATGAAACGCTTCAGTATGAGTGTGGTGAGACACTGGCACAGATTGCCCAGGGAAGTTGTGGATGCCCCTCCCTGTAAGTGTTCAAGGCCAGGTTGGACAGGGCTTTGAGCAATCTGGTGTAGTGGGAGGTGCCCCTGCCCGTGACAGTGGGGTTGAACTAAATAGTCTTTAAGGTCCCTTCCAACCAAAACCATTCTATGATTCTGTAATTCTGTCCCTTGCTTTCATGTTTATCTGCTGACAGGCTGTGAATTGGACATATGTTCCCTGATCCAGATAGCTACTTATGGGAAGTTGATGTTCTTTCATATAATATTTTCTTTGCTAGAACCACAGCAAAGGAGCTAATGAGATGTGTGAATGTAGGAATTTTCTTATGGAAGCCTTTTTTCTCTCTATGTCAAGTCATGAAAGCAATTCTCTCTTTTAAAGAAGAGAACCACTTTAATGTTGCAAACACCTCTGAAAGAAAATAATTCAGTAACATACTGAAAAGCACTTCAGATGTTAAAAGAAGGCGTCCTGTTGCCAATATGAGGTACTGCAAATTGACAGTCACCCCAAGCCATGTGAAGCTTCTGGAGGGAGCTGCTGTTCTGGAATGCTAAACCCTCACAGCAGGGCTGCCAATTCCTGACATTTGTAGTTTATGAAATAAACATAGCATTTCATTCAGTTACAGTAAACCTCTTTAGATGAAAACATGATTTCCTACCATTTCAATCTGCTACTCAGGACAATGTAATTTTCTGTCTCTACCTGTTAGGTAGGCAGAATAAGATGGGTAAAGTTTTTTATCAGCTCCATTTGATATAGGTTTTAAGAAAGCTGGATTATTTTCCTTAATCTGACTAATCCCTTTTAGATTCATTCTAAATCAATTCACAAATAATTGTGAGGAAAAAAAGTATATTTTGCAGACACACCTAATGGGTTCACACTTTGTGAACTAAGTAAATTCACTTTACATAAACAAATAAAAAAGCTCTCCAGTTAAAATTCTGCTAGTAAATCTTTGATGTAATTTCAGATTCTGTCTACCACAATAAACCAAAATTAATATTTATGCATCTTCTCCATTTCTGAAACAGGACTGTCTTGGCTTACTGGGACAGAATTTTAGAGGAATTTTTTCTCTTGAGGAAAACTGTGCTTCTGTAAGGATTATTTCATGGGAACAAAGTGATAAGACACTTTGTTATAGTTTTCAGCTAATACTGGTATGTGAGGATCAAAGTCTTCAGCAATCTTGAGATAAATATGTACAGAGGCTGAGAATGGGACTTCTTCTTCCCTCTTCCATGGCTGACATCTCAAGAGGGACTTGTCTACTGTCGTATCCCTGAGGCCTACCCCCCCAAAGGCTAACTTTGAGTACTTTATGTTAATACATAATTTTTTATTATTATTACTTTATTAAATCTATTTCTATTTCAACCAACTTCTCCTTTCCTTTTCCTAAGTCCCCTCCCTGGGTGGGGAGGAGACTTAGAGTGATAGAGCAACTGTATAAAACATGACCAGGAGTAAACAGCAGGACTATAAGACATTGTTCACACTGCTTTGTGTGAAAATTGAGCGTTTAGCACAATCTATTTGAGGAATGCATACTCACTTGGCCCAGCTAAGGGTAAAGTAGGTTTTTCTAAAACATTATGCAAAAGGGAAGGGGTAAGAACAACAAGTAGTACTAAAATTTTTGCTGATTAGATTAGGCAGAGATACCTTCCACTAGACCAGGTTGCCCAAAGTCCTGTCCAACCTGGCTTTGAACACTTTCAGGGAGGGGCATTCACTACATCCCTGGGCAACCTGTGCCAGTGTCTCACCACCCTCATAGTGAAGAATTTTTTCTTCATATCTAACCTAAATGTACCCTCTTCAAGTTTAAAGCCATTACCCCTTGTCCTATCACTGCCTGCCCTTTTAAAAAGTCCCTTCACAGCTTTCTTGTAGACCTTCTTCAGGTACTGCAAGGCTGCTATAAGGTCTCCCTAGAGCTTTCTCTTCTCCAGGCTGAACAACCCCAGCTCTTGTCTGTCTTCATAGGAGACAAATCTTTTCTCTAATTAGGTTTGAAACTCTTTTGTTCAACCATAATTACAGAACACATTTATCGTGTTGGTTTTTACCTTTATATACCTTCCCTGATGTTGACATTTTGATGAGTCCCTGAGTGCTAAAAACATACTCAGCAACACAATAATACGTTAAGAAATTGACAATATCCCAAACTCAATCCTCCTGCTACTCTCTTGACTGCATTTCTATACTCTTCCAGCTTATTAACTAAATAAACCTATATAATATTTGTAGGCAGATGAAACAGTAGCAAGCAAATGAATTTACTGAAGATTTTTTTAAAAAAATGTTTCTTTCATTTTTTTAATCCAGTTTTATGAGCTAGTGGTTCATTAATACTTATTTTTAAAACCCCAACACAATAGTTGAGAAACCTTTCATCTTTATAACAGGCAAAGAAGAGGCTGAGAATTTTATGTATCGTGTCTGTTTCTGCCTTTTCTCTGTATTACAAGCAACTCCTCTAATCTTCCTTTGAGGGATCTCATTCTAGTGATAGGAGGAGCATACACCACATCACTACTTTCCTTGATGTGACTGTTTTCCTCCTATTATTAATTAGGACAGATCAGATGTCTACAGGACGCATTAGAGCTGACAGTCTGTAATCTGTCAAGTCCATTTGAAACCATGCTCACTTGTTTTTGCAAAGTTCCTGTGTGTACAAATTGCATGCTGTGTATCAGTCAAAGTTGTTCTCTGCTGCCCAGTATTAGCATCTTTAGCAGCAACCAAACAAAATTGTATGCAAGGTCTCGCTCAGAATCTCAGCTTTTGTTAGGCAATAAATAGAGCATCAATCTAAACACACTGCAAACCCTGGATGCACTGAATGGACTTTAACTAATCTGAATATAATGCTCTGAAGTACAAGTAGAAGAAAAAAGGAAAGTGAAAGTGTCTAAGATGTATAGTCAGTGATGTGTAGCTGGATCACACATTCATATTTTCCACACATTGATGCTATAGTTGTTCTCAGGTCAATTGGTATTCTCAGGGTACTGTTTTTGATTAATTCATTAACTCACTTTTCCTCTAATTTCTTCTTCTCATTTGTCCTCTCCCTGTCATATAACATAGCATAAGAAATAAATTTGATGTAAAAAATTTTCAGATTTAAATTTCCACAAGAAAGGAGATTAAATATATTTTTATATATATATATAACTATGTATTTAAGTTTCAACCATTTTCCAATTTATGTTAGGCTTCAGTGAAGACAAGAGTACTAGAATGCAGATGGGCATCTAAAAATCTTTCATATTTGGTAAAAGGGAAAGAAAAGAAGATATTATTTAGGAAAGCTTTAGAACTGGAAACTTTTTTTTAACGTAAATATATCTTTTTGTTTAAAAATTCCACCACAAAAAAACCCCCAAACAAACCAGCTAAAGCTTGGTATATTTTATGGTAGAAAGATGAGAATTGAAGCACAACGGAAGAGCAAGATCACACCAACTGGATGCATTTATTATAAAACTACTCATACGATCCTTTATATATATAACTTACCTGAACAGAAGTCATCAGAATATCTATCATACACTTCCTTACAGTTTCTTTCATCACACTCACAAGTATCTCCATGAATATCTCCCCAGTCACCAGTTGGGTCCACATCATGGCATGTGCATTCCCCACATACACATGTGCCTAGGAAAATTAAAAAAAAAAAAAAAAAGAAAGAGATCAAAGATGAACTGAGTAATTGAGGATAATAGTACTTTTATGATAGGAATTTACACTTGAGAATTTTCTGCTCTTACAGGAGTGCAGTGTCAAATCTGTATGTGTACATCATGAGCTTATGCTCATCTTCTGTTATTTAAAAGCCTTTATGATTATTTAGCAGTAATACTTTGTACAAACAAGTTGGCTTTCTGTTCAAGTCTCTTTCTGCTGTTGAGCCTTGTTAGAAAACAAAAGAAAAATGTAGTGCACAGAACCATCGTAAATCTTTGGCATCAACAGTAATTTGCCCTGACACTAATGACAATAAAAATCAATGCTGTTTAAATCACAGAATCACAGAGTCTTAGGAGTTGGAAGGGACCTCGAAAGATCGTCTAGTCCAACCCTCCTGCCAGAGCAGGAACACATCAACTAGGTTGCAGAGGAACTCATCCAGGCGGATTTAGAATGTCTCCAGAGAAGGAGACTTCACAGCCTCTCTGGGAAGCCTGGTCCAGTGCTCTGTCACCCTCACAGTAAAAAAGTTTTTCTTTATATTCTCATGAAACCTCCTATGTTCCAGCTTGCACCCACTGCCCCTTGTCCTGTCATTGGCTATCACTGAGAAGAGCCTGGCTCCTTCCTCCTGACACTTGCCCTTTACAAATTTATAAACATGAATGAGTTCACCCCTCAGTCTCCTCTTCTCCAAGCTAAAGAGACTCAGCTCCCTCAGTCGTTCCCAAATGACTTGGGCTTGGGCACAGTGGATAATTAATGATTGTTAAAGTATAAACATTTAAACTAGAAGGAAATTCAAATTCTAATCCAATTGAAAATGCCTCAGAGGTCATTTTTTAACTAAGAAGAACATCAGTACACATTTACATGAAAGATACTTTTTGACTTTTCCCAAATCAATATTCAGAGCCACAGCCTGTTGCTTACAATAAGAAGAGAAATGTGAAATATGACAGAGGTATTAATTCGGCACAACCTTACTGATATCCAGAGAACATGCATCTTACTTACTTAGGAAAAGTCGTAACACAAAAAGAGAGTTTCCCTATTCAGAAATCCAAATATGCTTCAGGGCCCTACACTCACTACTTATTCTGAGATGCCAACAGGCACAAAGAAGCAGTCTAACCTTACAAATATATGTGGTTTATTTCCTGGAGAGTAGCTTCACCTTCTGCTACTCCACCAAAATCTTTATCTTCTTATTCAGATACTGCATTTGAGGACAACAGGACAGGGTCACTAAAGACTACATATATATATATGGGCACACTCTCTAAAAAGAGAAGGTCTAGAGAATCATGCATACATGACAGTTACACGAAGCAGGAAGATCTGCTGTCCTGTTTAGTGCTAAAGCCACCAAGACAGCCCTGAAGAAATTTGCACCTGGTTATTGATACTTTCACAATTCAGTGATGTTACTGAAGGATAAGACAAAAACAAACAAACAAAACCAACAAAAACCAAACCAAAACCAACAACAACAACAAAAAGGAAAACAAACAAACAAACAAACAAACCCCCAACTAACTAACCAAACAGACAAAAACAACAACAACAAAATCCAGAAAATTAGGAGCTGCCTCTGGAGAGTGATTAAGCCTCCCGGAAACTACTTCAAAGTGAATTTGGATCGCCTATCCTGGATATTGCAATGTGAAACACCATCTCACCAAAGTTTAAAAATCTAAGTGTTCACATCTGGTCTCAGCTGGTTGACTAGACAGTTGGTGGAAAGATACAGACAATTTATCCATCTTAGCACTGAAGGAGGCTGGATGGCAAGGTTAGCCTTGATATTTAATTTTTAGAAGACAAGATGAACTGCACCTATATCACAAAATGTATAAACACAGAAAACTGGGTAAATAGGACTGAAGAGAGCAGAAACACTGTGTTGGAAAGCAACTTTATGTAGTTAAAAGCCTACAAGTTTTTTATATAAATAAAATCACAAATACATGAAAGATAAAAATATGGAAGCATCCCATAAAAGTATTTTTGCATAGGAGTTTGTAGCTATTCAGAATATCAGCTATGATATTTATCCTAATTTCCCTCAATAACAATGTAAATTTAAAGAAATACTTGCACTTTAAAGTTTCAATTTTTAACAAGAAATTGCTTTGACAAGAAACTACTTTCTTGGTGCAAGCAAAGCATCTGATCTGAAGCCACTTCAATGTCTGTTATTTCCAGAATTATAGAAAATTTTTTACTGTTAAAGCCTCGAGACTAAATGAGCCTCTGTATTGAGCCAATCTTTCGATTTCCTCATAATTAAGATGATATAGATGTTCATGCTGTAGCAGGTTTTGTCAGTAGAGGTGTTTTTAGGAGAGGTAGCTATGTGACTTGAACTTATGTTCTACTGTAATTATTCTAGACTATTGCCAAGAAAATAACTTTTTTTAACTCTTTGTTTAATGAAACCAAACATAGTAGCTAGTGAAAAGTGACCTGTTTTCAAAATGGCAAAATTAGACAGAAGATTAGGTAAAATTCAAATTCTGGGACTTCATAGAAATAAAACCCCATGTAGGTAGAAATATTATATGAAATGTACCTTTCCAGGTCCACATGTATTCCACAGCATTGTTACTGAACACTTCATAGTTTTAGTGGAAACAAAAAAGCTTTATGTTTTCATTTTTCCTATTCAGTTGTGGGTCCTTGATCTTCTTTAAGAGTGAATTGACATACAGTCCTGTTGATCTTACAGCACCAATCCATTAAAAGTCAAAAAACTTTTAATATTTTATTTTGCAGGACAGGTCTCTTATCAAAGCGGATATACTAAAAAATTATCCTGCTCAGTCTTACCACTGAAATGAAGGATGAGAACAACTTGGGACAGCTTAATCTAAAAACAGGTGTGGATATGTGCATGTTCATACCAAAACACAGATATCTTCCCACTCACTTGGAAGTGTATATCCAGATTTGAAATGAGTGAGAACAAACTAGAAACTATTAGCAAAGGAAATGTATATCCTAGTGCAGAAAATGCATATTGTAAACCCAAAGCAAGCTATATAGAAATGCATAGAAGGAACATGAGAACGACACACCTCTGTTGCTGCAGATTTTGCCATCTGGAGATGTGCATCTTTTCTTGATCTCCCAGGGGGTGATGTCACACTGGAATTCACATTTATCTCCATGCCAACCAGCCTCACAGTAACAGTTTCCACAGTAACACTTTCCATGGCCTTAACCCAAAAGAGATTTTATACAGTGAGAAAGAGGCAAGTTTTTAAAAGGCATTAGCAATTTACCTGTTTTGATCTTTTCTTTTAAAAACTTTGAGAGCTAGACTCAGCATAGAAACAATTCATAAACTGTATATGCCTGCATAAAATAAGGTAAAGGATATACTTTCCCCCAAGTCTATTTTGGATTTTTTTCATTTAATACCAAATTAAATCTAATCAATAAACACTAAGAAAATAAATTCAATATTTTTATATTTATAAGCTTAAATTTTGAAGTTTTATAGGTAAATTGGGAAGACAGTAAATGTAATAGTTAAAATTTAAGCACAGCTTTAAATGTTTAGATAGAACACACTTGCCCACCATTCTTAGCATGTCTATGAAAGTATTGTGGGATCCTGACTCCTCAAATAATTCCAGTAGTGGGACCTTGTTTTACTAAAAACTCTCTACATTGTGTATGACTTCCCTTCTTACTTGTTAAGAAGATTTTTGGACATGGATAAAACAGTTTTTGAAAGGTAAGAATTAGTAAAATGAACCTTTTAAATGTTCATTTAACAAACCATATATCTCCTGAAAAGATAGTTGGGTCATCTGAGGCTTGATGAAACTCAGATGAGTTCAGCTTGATGAAGCTCCTGAACATTTTGATCCACTGAGGTACTTCTGCTATGTGCTTCAAGGACAGAAATAATTTAAATTAAATAGCTGCAACTGTTACTAAGCTTAAAGCCAGAAGTTACTTCCTAACTAGAAGGATCAAGTCAGGATCTTGTTCTTTTTTCTCTCTAGGTATGTGAAGCTTAGTAGACCTGATTGTCTTTATCAGAGTCTAGTTAGCTTCTGTCCTTAACTTTAAAGAGTAAAAATTTAGACCTGTGGAATACAGGGTGGTTTTTTAACCTGTTTTTACAATTACTCATGGAATTTACACTACAGTTGTTTGGTTACATGTGAAAAAAAAACAACCAACAAACAGAAAATAAAAATGCCATCTTACTTGGACAACTAAACAACAAAGACACTCTAAAGTACTGCCTATTACCAAAAGGTTGTTTTTGAACAGTGGACAAGAAGTAAATTGAAGAACGGTGAAGAAGAAAGTTAATTTGATCTACTGGCAATTTTTGCAGATTTAACATCACTACTTCATTCTTCACTCACACTTGTATAGTCCCCAAATAACTACGAATTATACGATACAATCTGCCACTACTTCTTGCCCTTGACTGAAGGCAAAATTACTCCATTAAAGCAAAACATCTTTAGATAAAAAAGATCAGGATCAGAATTTAACTTGCTAGAAACCATGATACTTTATTAAAAATAAGCTGTAACTTGATCCTAAAGTTTATGAAACCTCAAATAAAAAGTGATATAGTCAACTGACTGATAAAAATCTGACTGAGGCTTGAAAAGCTTGATATATCTTTGTTACCCTGCCCTACCTAAGAAGTTAATTGCTTTTAAAAAATGCAGTCCACTTGTGCTAAAATTAAAATGCATGTTATCCATATCTCAGCATGGCATGACATGCTTTTCCAGGATAAAATCCCAGATCACAGCTGCAGAATTTAGAAACATGTCTGTAAATAAAATCTTTCATTTTTTCATTAGTTTGATCTTTCTGAGTTAAACTACTTTGCAGATGATTAAATCTTCAAAACCTGTCTATACCTTCAAGGTCAATAAAAGATACGTAGCAACTAAGTAGGTGCTACTCAAACTGAAAATACAGCAGGCACTGATTAGGCTCACCCTGTCTGTGGAGTGAGTTGGAATGCCATTTCTTTATGCTTCATAAAAAACCCTATGCTTCATAAATAAACCTAAATGATTCCTATGGTGGAAATTTTTGTGGAAGGAAAGATGGGATAGAGGGTATCAAAGGAGACACTGGGATGGGAGCAAGAAGCCATAACCAGATGGGCATGCAGAGTCTGCTTTTTCTGTGATGAAATTGTGTACCTTTGACTTTCAGTTCATATGCTGTCCAATTTTCTGCATCAGGCATGGTTCAACATATGGTTATGTATCACAGAGCTTTGTTAGAAAGTAGAGAAAAATCTAACACTGATAAGCTATGTGCATAAGCTTTTCAGCTTTTCAGCTTACAACAACCTAACCAAGTCAAGTACACCATTAGCTCGTACTTCCTGTAAAACTTACACAAGGTATCAGAGCTTTTTACACTGATGAATCACAGACCTTAGAAGCTATCAACCTTTTTGTCCTTTTTGTCCTTTTCCTTCAGCATACTTTGATTTCTGCATAAAACTACATTTTTACAGAGATGCATCTGGTCTGTTTTGGAAAATGGCACCATTGGATGAAACAAGGGGAAATAAAATTTAACAAATACCTAATGATATAAACTAGCAGCAAAACAGGTGGGGAAAACAAAACTGAAAAAAAATCAGAAGGAGAACTTACTGGAACTAAATACATGGCAAATTTTTATCATATTTGGTACTATATGTAATGGTTGCAAGCAAATAAAAATAAATTAGATCATTGGCACATAAAAATTATTGCCCTTCACTTATTTTATTTTAGGCAGTTACTGTAAGTGTTATATTCTGCTCCTGGATTTGAACTTCAATCAACGATTCTGTTTATCCCTATTTAAAATCCCTACCTAATCCTGTGCAAAAAAAAAGTTCTTTTTGCTTTCAAAGACACTAAAATAAATAGAATTTATTTTGTTCTTTTGGTGAGGATAAAGACAGAGAATGTTATTTTACACAAGTGCTCTCTCTCTTTATAAACACACACATGCAGACCATGCACTATTATCACTGTAAGAATAGTTTAAGAGCAGTTCTGAATCCTCCTGTATGCATACAGACACAGTATGCATGTGTACAGCTTGAAAAATATTTGTAGCAACTTCTAGCTCAAGGACAAGCCTCCCTAGTAGTATAGGCAACAACATTGCCTATAACAACATTACTGCCATAAATTGTGTGCATTACACAGTATTTAATTGCCAAGTTCCTATCTTATAATGAAAAGAAAGCACAGTTTGAATTTTGCTTGCTTTTTTATCTATCATCTGAGTTCACTCCATCATATTCTCTTGCTTTTCCCATCACAGATGAAATTTTTCTTCATTCATTCCTTTCCCTTTTTATCTCCTGAATTGCATCTGAATTCTCATCCTCCATTTATTCTTGTTCTTTTAAGTTTTTGTTTTCTTGCTGAAATGCTTAATAATCTATTTTTCTTTTTTTTGTTTTTCTATGTCCTCCATTTTGCACTCATCTGTGCCAGAAAGCATTGCCACAAATCCTAACAAAGACACACACAAAGCTATGAATTACCTTAGTGAATTACCTTGTATAATCCTCTTCATAGTTTTTCCAAAAAGAGGAGGTTGTCACAGGATTTCTCAATTCTTTAACCTCTTTCTTAGCTCATTTTTGCATCTGAAATTCCCACTTAAATGTTGCAAGCTAAATTCTTGCATACATTCAGTACAGTCATACATTCAATCATACATTAAGTAAAGACATTTTATAAGTCCATACAATTAAATTATTTTATAACAGTCTGCATTAATCTTCACCATTCTTCTCATACTCAGTAAAATACATACCTGTACAAATCTCTTCTGTCTCATCATCTATGCATTCTCTGTCATCACATTCACAAAATTTACCATAGACCAGTCCATGTCCTGCGTTTGCACATTTACACCTGCCACACTGACATGTACCTGTAAATATTTAAGACAGTACTCAATGGCTGCAGTTTGTGGAAAGAGTTTCATTAGTCCATCAGAGATGGTACATATTTTATTTCTGAGAAGGCAGAAATCTAAAGATCGTCCAGCCAAATAAAGACAGACACAGAAACAATCCATATCATCAGAAAGCCTAGTCTTAGCTATAAAGAGATGCAATAGTCAAGAGGTTCTTTCTTAATAAACAGCATAATATTTTCCTATGTAAAATTCCCTCCTAGAGTTTTCTGTCTGACTTCATACACCTGAGGTATGATGCCAGCTTTGGAAATTATATCTTCTGCCTGCTGAAAGAAAAAAATTAACTCCATTATCTTCTCAAGAATGAAGCCTGGTTTTGTCCAGTTCCACAGCCATGCTACAGGACAGTCACAGGACATGACTACAAACAACCTGAAAATATATCTGCCTAAGTTCACAAAGTTCCTTCGCACTTCAGTCTTTCATCCCTTTTCTACAGTTATCAACCAAATATTAAGATTTAAAAAATACAGCCTTGGAGAAAAAGTCACGAATCAAAGAAAGAAAACATTGGTGAGGAACATATGCACAAAGAACTTATGATCAGATGTCAGGAAAAAAGGACACAATCTAGAAAGCAATTACCAGAATGATGCATTAATTATACAAGAGACAAGCTAATTGCAGAGAAATATATTAATAGTGTTATTAAACAAACCATAAGTATTATAATAGCATAACAACAATTTTACTGCAAAGTGCATACTAAAAGCATTAAACAGCCAATTCTGTGATATTTACTAAAACTCTTGAATAAATACTTTATTCACATTTTAATATAGTTTTCATTAACCACTTTCCATTTGCATACCAATAGCTTATTTTTTCCAGTGGTATTGATGTCCACATTACAAGTTGTTTCACTCAATTGAAGAAATGTAGGAACTTCTTTCATAATATCTTATTATTTCAGGACTTTGACCCAATCTTTCTTTAAGCTTTTAGGGCTCATTTTTCTTCAGTTTATGGGTGGTGTCTCAGAAAACAGTGGCTCTTGTGAGAAAGTTAAGAGAGAGAATAAAGATACTTGCTGATTTGTCACAAGTAGGATGAGTTTTACCCACATCAGACCAGCAAGTGGTTTGAGAACATGGGTCTGCCTGAGATTGTCCCTCAATATAAGTACTCTTAGGACTTTCAAATGCTTTGGAAGTGCAGAGCTGTTTTTTCTCACAACGTAAACCACAACAGAAATCTTTCTGACATAAGTTAAAGCCAGAGTGCTCAGGCGATGCAAAGGATGGAAATGGGTTTGTAAACAGATCTCTCTTCTGTCATCTCTGGTCTGGTTGCACATTTGCTTCTTGGTCTTTTGACTAGAGTTGCCCCCTCACCTCAGTGGCTGCCTCTCTCCATCACCCACTCTGCCAAACAAAAATGGTTTGGTTTGTTGCTCCTAGGGAAGGAAGGATCTTCCTTTTTTCCTCAGAGAGTCTATCTCACCTGGAATACAGTTGACAGGGAAAAACAAACAACTGCCTTCTCTTTCTGAATATTTCCTGGTTTGAAACATAATGCATGAGAACATATAACACCAATAAATAAACACACTAAAGAGTTATATAGTAAAAAAAAGCAAAAATACTATAAAATTACATTAGAAACATATGTTATCATGCCAGTCATGTAAGAACCCACTTTTCTCTACCTCTATCACCTTTATTAAAATTGTAAAGGTAGGATCTTTGTGCAATACCATGTTAACTGGGGCCCTGTGGTCAATGGACTTGCATAAGCTGTTTCAGCAGTCACTGACGTCACTATGCCAGCAAGTATAGATTTTTTTAAAAGTAGAAACTTAATTCATTAATTCACAAGACTCATACTCTTCACATTACATCTATACATATTCTAGCAAACTTGGCTATTGACACAGAAGTAGTCCTCGAAAATACAAGTCTTATGCTATTATTACACAACTAGTTTGCAGAAACCATTTTACCTTTCACTATTACAAGTATAGTACAAGTCTTACAAGTATAGTACAAGTCTTAATACTATCATATTAATACAAAGAACAGAAGAATAAGGTTCTGTGACATACATGGCCAATCAAAAAAGTGAACTTTAAAAATGTTTGCAAGAGCTGATATACTAGAATAATGACAATACAACTGACAGCATAAGTAAGCTACAGAACTAGAATTATTTGCTACAGTTACTTGGAAAACAAATACAAATAATTTTTTTTATAAAACTGTCTTGTTTACAGATAACTGCCAAACAGGGAAAAAGATAAAATAGTAAATTGATTCATAAATTGGGAACCTAGAGAGGTCAGACAAACTGTCCTAAAAGTGTCTATTCCTTCCAATTGACTAGAAGTAGATATTGCTCAGATAGAGAATCAAGGTTTAGGTAGGATGCCCTAGTTATTTTGGAAAGTTATTAGGAACAGTTGAGTCAGAAAACTTAAATTTTAGGTGGGTCATGATCAGTCCATGAAAGGTTAGCTGTGAGAGAGAAACAGACTGTTTTTGCAACAACTTACGTTATCCCTTTCCATCTTTTATTGGCAGTTGAAAAAAGAGAGCTCAGATCCCAAAGGCAATGTTGGAAGCAGACTTCGAGGCAATCCCATAAAGACAATATATATATGGTTCAAAGTTACTTCAAACTCCTTAGCCAGTCTCATTGGAATTTCTGTCAGGTTTAATACCAGCAAAGCATTCATTCTTCTACTGATCTCACAAACACTCCCATCTTAGCCACTTCTACTGAGTTTTCAGCTACACTGGTATTCCTCTGAAGACTTAGTGATAAACAGACTGAGGCCCTTTCTAGCCAAGGAAAGAAAGAGGAATAAAAGTCTTTATATTCTTTTTTGAGTACTTTAATCACAATGAACTATGTTTATTTTTGAGAATCAGTTTCTCAATTAGGTGACTCTTATTTGTTAACTAAACAGTCCTGAGTTTCCTATAATCTATATTGTCATAAATGACACAGTATTTACTCAGTGTGCTCTATGCTTAAAATTTTAAGTTCTACTTTCTATCGTGAGAGCCTGGCTTCTCTATAGCAAGTTTCACAAATCATTTGGAGTTTTCGCCCATATCAGCAACTATTTTGTGAGAAATTTGGTTGTATGCAAATGTATAGTTCCAGACAGAAATTAATAGACCAACAATAGTAAGCAAAAGTTGGGATCTTGAAAAATTCCCCCACTGGGAGATTGATTTAATGGAAAAAATGGAAGTTATTTTATGGTCTCAAACCTTGATTGGTAGCAAATGCCCTTCAGAATTTTAACATTGTTCAGTCAAGTCTTCTAAAAGGCTTTTTCTTTTCCCCTCTGATTTTTGTAAGGAAAGAACTCTCTGTTTAAGTTATGATGAATCATAAAATTAAAGAAATAAAGAAAAAATTAGTTATAAAATCAGAAAGGTGAGGATGGAAGTACTTAATTAAAATGATTGAACAGATCTTCCACAACTGTTTTCAGTAACCATTGTTACAGCTCAAGTGACTCCAAAAATTGTACAGTTTGTACATGTCCTGGAAAAATATTCTCAAGTGATATTTCTGTATGCTATAAACACAAAAAACTTGAAAAAACTTTCTGTGTTAATCGCATTACCACAACATTTTGATGTCAAAATACATCTCAGTTGCAGTTTCATGAGCCTGAAATAGCTATGGAAAACCTAAAGTACTAACGTACTCATTCTGAATCATTGCAGATCATATGCACAGGAATGGGCCTATAGGAAAATAAAGCATTTTAGTATACATACAGTTATTTCTGAGTCTCTTGAAACATACTCCACAAAATTCTTAATTAGAAAAGAAATTACGGTGAGGTTCAACATAACACAGGGAGAACATCAAGCCTCATAAGCAATAAAAGACATCTTACCTGCACCAGAACAGATGATATCTTGAGAATTCTTACACATTTCATTGCTTTTCTTCCGTGTAAGATTGCAAGTAGTTGGATACTGACAAGCTTCACCATACCAGCCTTCATCACATTTGCACTTCCCACAGTCACACTTCCCATGGCCTAGCAGTGGAGGGAAAG